AAATCCACTAAACGATTTGGTGTGATATGGGTGTGATAATCATATAATATCACTATTATAACATCACTTGCGCACTAAATTTGATCATAGTTTCGATCGGTTAGGGTTAGACAATCACACATTTATCACAACGATTACTCATGGTTTCGATAGGTTATGGTTACACTTCATTGATTATGGTTTCAATAGGTTATGGTTATATAATCACACAATTATCACAAGGGAAGAGGAGAGAGTGGAAAAGAACGTGCAGGAAAAAAAGGGATAATTATGACTAATTAAAATAAAATAAAATTTATAAAATTAATTAATTACATTAATGCCCTTATTAATTTATTTATATTTAATATAAGTTAATTTATTAATTAAAAAAGTTTGAGGTTATTAGATTGTTCTCGCATTCTCGTAAATCACAGGGGTTCTCGTTTGAACCTCCACCTATATATATATATATATATATATATATATATAGTCGTGTTCGTGGATAAAAAGTTGAAGATGACGGTTTTCCATCCTTAATGATACGTCATGTTTATAAGAAACTTCTTGAATGTTTGTCATTGATGATAACTTGTTAACTTATCTGTTATTAAACATGTTTATCATATTATAGTCAGGATAAAACACATGCGATATAGGCATATAGCCTCAAGGGCTAAAAGTTTGACATTACAAATATATAGGGACCGGAAAATTAGCAATATAGAAAGAATTTTTTATGTAATTAATAAATAATATAAAAAATTAAAAAAAATTAGCTAATGTAATACTAAAACCTCAAACATTCATATTATTAACTGAAAAATAACAATGATTTTTGAACTGTTATCTACTAATACCATTAACAAAAAACGACAATATATTGAAATTACAGATAGAAACTTAGATTGACCAATGTAAGACTAAAACAGAATCTTCACATAATAATCAATTTAGAAACAAAATTAACATTGTTTTGAAAAATAATTATATATATATACACACAATTAACATGCATATCACATGGAAAGAAAAAAAAAAGAGTTTTTAATTAAGAAAATGGAGACTATTTTGATCTGTCACATGTTTAGTCGTAACAGGATCAAAGGTCAATATCAGTTATATTCTAGTCGAGATTAAAGCGTAGGGGATACGAGCATGTGACCCTTATTATATTTCACCTTGACTTATCGTGTCACTGAATTCATCTAATGAACTTTTGACTTGTTTGTTGCAGTAAACCTGATTCTAAATTTAAAATACAGAGATAATCATATTCCCACCTTTTCGAACCAAAGATTGTGTTGTTTGAATAAGAAAAATCGAAGTTCTCTTGTGTGCCGATCCTTCTAGAATCTCGAAATAATAATCGATTGGAGAAACTTGAAAGCATAAAGTTTGACCATGAAAAATGCTTCAATTGACCACTCACAATATCACAAAATACCCAACAACTTTACACCCTTTTTTTTTAATGGCGGTTTGGCAAACACATAGATTTTGAGCATGATTGTTCTGAAAACACCATGATTTTTATTTATTATTTAGATGATGAGCTCATGAAGTCAATTTTGACTCTGTTTCTCTCTCCTAGAAATAGCCTAGCAATTACCACATCCTCTGTGTTTATATACCTCTCTATTTTTTCGCTTTTTTCTTCATCTTCTTCGACTCATTCTTCGATTCAAACCATACCCATATCGATTTGCTTTCAAAGGTTCCATTTTTATCAAGCTTTGCAACCATGGTGGCTCTGTCAAAACCTCCAATTGAACAGTTCTTTGTGAAACCCTCCAAACCAAACACGAACCCATTGATCATTCCATCTATTCCTCTCATTGACCTCGCGAAACCTGATTCCAAACACCAGCTTGTTAAGGCCTGTCAAGATTTTGGATTCTTTAAGGTTGTTAATCATGGAGTTCCTAAACGGTTCATCAATAAACTTGAGTCAGAAGCTGTCAAGTTCTTCTCGTCTCCTCTTTCTGTCAAAGAAAAAGCTGGACCACCCGACCCGTTTGGTTATGGAAACAAAAGCATTGGTAGAAATGGAGATGTGGGTTGGGTCGAGTATCTTCTTCTCAACGCGAAACTGGAATCGGATTACCAGAGATATCTATCTGTTTTTGAAGAAAACCCAGAAATTTTCCGGTAAGAACTCTGCCGAAAAAGGTCGAATCTTTTTCTATGAAACCTAACGTGATTTACTGATTTAATCTGTGTTTCTTTTTGTAGGGGAGTTGTGAATGATTATGTGACAGCAGTGAAGAAGATGGCATGTGAGATTCTTGAATTATTGGCGGATGAAATGAAACTGCAGCCAAGAAATGTGTTCAGTAAGCTGTTGATGGATGAAGAAAGCGATTCTGTTTTCAGAGTAAATCACTATCCACCATGCCCAGAGTTTCAAGAAAACGAAAGAAATGGAAGGAAATTGGTGGGTTTTGGAGAACACACAGACCCACAAATCATATCTGTTTTAAGATCTAACAACACATCTGGGCTTGAAATCTCATTGAGAGATGGAAGTTGGATGTCTGTTCCTGCTGATTCTGATTCTTTCTTCATCAATGTTGGCGACTCTTTACAGGTACATAAACATGAAAAACTATGATTTGACTCTTTATACCATAGAATTTAAAATAATTTTTTTAAAAAAAGGGTCAAATGATTCTGTGTAGAGTCCCCGTCAGCATTCCAGTATTTTCTTCGTTGGTCATAATCAATCTTTTTCTCAACTCCCATAAGTCACTTTCTTGTTTCTACAGTCTCCATCATCTTTCTTCAAGATACTAAGCCTCTTGAATTAATCGAGAAAATCATATTTAACATATGGGTTATCAAAAAAGATCCATATTAAGATATGGGTTATAAAAAAAGATCCATATTAAGACATGGGTTATCAAAAAAGATCCATATTAGCATGGGTTATCAAAAAAGATCCATATTAAGACATGGGTTATCAAAAAAGATCCATATTAAGACATGGGTTGTCGAAAATATTTCAAAAGAGTCATGTTTAAGACACGGGGTATTGGATCAAAACCTGCTTATTATGATTTTGACGATAAAAATGATTGGTTTTTAGGTGATGACGAATGGAAGATTCAAGAGTGTGAAGCATAGGGTGGTGGCAAACAGTAGGAAGAGTCGGGTTTCGATGATCTATTTCGGAGGACCACCATTGAGTGAGAAGATTGCCCCATTGACATCACTTATGCAAGGAGAGGAAGACAGCTTGTACAAGGAGTTTACTTGGTTCGAGTATAAGAAATCTGCGTTTAATTCAAGATTGTCGGATAACAGATTGGGTCTGTTTGAGAAAATCGTTGCATCTTAGGCTTTTTAGGGGTCGTGCTCTTTGTTTTTTTTTGATTTGTTTGTGAACCACAAAATAGTTGTAGTGTTATAGTGACTTAGATATCATACGTTAACATTTGTATATCTTTCTAGATTCAAAGTTTCAAACCTCTCGTCTCATACCGTTTTTTCTTCTGTAACTTGCACTTTTTGTGTTCAGATTTCTTCATCGTAATCGACTTAAAACAAGAATCTTGTTTAATGAAACGTATTCTCTTGAACTTATTTTGTTGGCAAAAAGCGACGTTTATGAATGGAGCCGATCCCCACAACAAGTGTTAGAAGTTTCTTGTGGTACCAAATGATGTCAACAACACAAACTCCAAGTCATCTTTCTCCCCCACATTTCTTTACTAGCTAGGTCGGAATGTTAAATGCAACTTGATTGGCCACCGTATGGACCATGGGTCTAATGGTCCATGCCCTTTGACAATGGCTCGATAGCACTATTTTGTATCAATTGTCGCGGGTTCTAGAAAGTGAAAATGACATGTATGCCCTTTTAGTTCAAAAACATATGTTTACGTGCACAAATCTAAACGGAAGTTACTCAACTTTCCAACATACCGATCATGATTTGTTATAAAGGATATGAAAAGATAATGTAAATAGATATATGTGACATGATAGATTCAAAATATGAAACACAAATTTGCTTCCACCTTGGTGTAGTGGCGGACACATTAGCAAAAAGGAGGGGGAAGGAACCGTAGTCAAAAACTCAAAAAAAAAATTCCTAGGTTAAAGTTTAGGTTTTACACGAATTACCTTTCACTTCCCCCCATTATATTTTTCCACGGCCCCCAACCCCAATCGAAACCGTTACTTTAACCAAAAAATCTATTGAAATCAATAAAAAAAACCAAAAAAGTTATTCGAAATCGACAAAAACACTAAATAAATCCCTTGAAATCAACCAAAAAACTTTAAAAATTCCTCGAAACGTTGTAATTAGGTTAAAAACACATCGGACAGTTTTGCGGACCTTTAGTCTACCTTAAAGGTGACCCTAGTAGACAAAAATCTTGGATCCGCCACTGCCTTGGTGTATAAAATGCATATAAATGGAAAATAAAGTTGTGGTTCATCTCTATCTTGTAATTTTTTTTTAATTAACTTGGATATCCAACCCGCTACGCGAGCCGACTAATTCTAAGGGGACCGCCTGCTTTGCAGATAGTCCGGAGTCACTACATTTGAACCTCCGTAACCATAAGGGAATTTTTATTGCTCATTGAATTTGAACCTGCGACCTCCTGACAATTTTATGGATGGGTGGTTAGGATTGTTGCTTGAAAATCCAAAGGTCCACTTTAGGGGTTTGTTGATGATTTTGGCCCATTTTTCCATCCAAGTTTGTTATGTGTCACATGAGTTGTTATTTGAGAGGCTAAACCTTTTTGGGAAAAACAATCATCATGGTTAATTAATTTGATGGATATTATTTCCAAATTAATTATAAGACGTGATGTAGTGTATGATATGTCATATTAATGTGAATTATCGATCGAAATCATCGATATTAGATTGGTTAAAGTCGTAATATAGGTATTAATAAGGTGGGTCATGGGGTTGTTGGAAGGAATAAACCAGGTTTAATATTAAACAACATAATCATTTTGATAATAACTCGTAAAAATAAACGGGTCCTGGTTGGGTGGCTTATGCTAAGTTGTTAGGCATAGAGGTGTTGGCGGTTCGGTTTGGACGGTTTTAATCCCCTCAAACTATAAACCAAAGCGTGATGTCGGAATTAAATATCAACAAATGATTTTTTTTTTTTGTCATTTTTCTTTAAAATTAAAATTACCATTCAATATGTTAAATTTTTTAAATTGTCGTTCATTAATTAAAAAATCATTTATTACATAAAATTGTGCAAACTAAATAACCATAAACCAAGTTATATTACTAACATCAGATAAAATCTGAAAGTGTTCACTACATACCTTATACTACTAATATATGAAATTGTTCACTACAAATTACCAAGATCCGATAACATCTGAAACTGTTAACTACATACCTTAATTCCAAAACTCAAATTCAAGTTTTCAAATCATAACCAAAATCAACTTTCCAACAGAAACCTTACCCACTCCTCTTGCTCTCTTTCTTCCAAACTCCAAAAAATTAACACGTTATCAAGCTCACTTGTTATCTTTTTTACTGCTATGAACCTTTTCACTCTAGAAAGTGATTGCATTTTTGCAAGTTCAGAATTCACCATGGAAGTCTTGTTTTGTATATCCATTTCCATATCTACCATATTTTTCGATGCATTTTCAAAAATTTCCCCAAGTAAGATAGTTGCAATATGCATTCCATCAACAAGAGTTTCAACTCGGGTTTTCCTCTTCTTACTACCTCGACTTGAACCTTCTTCACTTCGCATATCTGTAGCATTATGTACATTATGGCTACTTTTCTGTGTCATCTGATTGTTGTTTTTGTTCTTCTAGATTCACTTGTTCCTACATCTCAACAACATCCCAACTCTACTTCCTTGAGTTGTATCTTTTCCAAAAGCAACAGACAAGTCTTCAAAATGTGGAAATATCTTGTTTTCCATTTTGCCACCTCTTTATGTACTTATTTCATGTCATAAAAGTTAATTAGCAAAAATATCAAATAATAACTACAAATATAGCATGAAATATATAATGGGTACCTTCAGGTAGACTCCCAAACTGGTGCTTCAGTAATTACACATTGTTTCAAACAATCATAACCAACCCCACTCGTATTTGTCTGATTCACCATGTGCGGTTTACCCAATATACCAGTATTAGGAATTGATTCTTTTAACACCTTTTTGAGTTATTGTAAATATCCACATTTAAAGTCGTTATCAGCTTTAAATCCTCCGATATTAACCATGTTAACCAAAGCCTCCACAAGCTTGCATCTTCAATAATTGTCCAATTTCGATGGTTTCTATTACGACTTCGATCCGCCATACCTATTGTTAAACAAATTAAATAATAAACAAATAACATGTAAAATAAACATGCAAATCATAAAATCAAGTTGTAGCATTATTAATTATGCAACATAGGTATCAAATTCATTATAAACCATAAAGATAAACTTCTCGCATTACAAATCATAAAAGGTCAATGCGTAGCATTCCAAGCCTCAAACATATGTTGTGTCAAATTATTTCTAAATGCAGTCCACTCAGTTGATGTCCCAACAGAACTGACATTATCCACGTCTTGATCTCCATCATCTTTGATTGTTTCATCTAACCCATCATTCTCAAACGGATCATTTGGCGTTTCTCACCTGATATGATTATGATGTAGACAACATGTCATTATGATCTTGTTTTTCAGTAGACAACATGTCATCATTCTCAAACGGATCATTTGACGTTTCTCAAACGTTTGTGGCAATTTTATTCTTTCTCGTTCTATATCGAGTCTTGTCTTCGAGTGGCACTAAGCACCTTATGTATGTACCATCTAAAGCTCCTAGACAATTCTAAAACCAAGAAAATGAAAATAGTCATTACACACTTTAAGTTACTTACATGTGAATACCAAAAAATGTAGATATTTTATATACCTTGAACCACTTCCATCTTCCATCGGTAGAATCCTCTTGAATGGCTTCATGTTCTTTAAACAAATATGAATGCAATCTTATCACCGTATTGCAAACTCAAGCAAAGAGTCTACCGATTGTTTCTCCCGAATGATGAAAACGACATGTGATAACTCAAATTTTAACATTATGAGCCATAATATGAAGGAAGATGACAACTTGTTCATCTATACCCATATGCCTACCTGTTCGTAATCCTTCTAATGTTTCCAACATATCACGTAACTTTTTGAAACACCCTTTGCTCATCTTAAGTTGTGATATGCACATACTATCACTCTCATAAGTATACCTATGCAATAATGAAGCTTGATCCATATCTGACAAAGATTATTGAATACATGGTTTATCCCTTTCGTAGTCGGCTATTAAAGTGCAAATCGTAATGAAAAACCAAGCAATAATGGTCATAAGTTCATGCAAAAACAATCTCATAAGCCTACGTCTGCGTGTTGTGAAACTAAGTCGGGTCATTTTCTGTTCAAAGACATACAAATGATTTTATTTCCAATTGCTATCAAATAAAGTAATCAAAGTGTGTAAACCTGCTGATGCATAATGCATTAAGAGGTTCTGCATTTTGTTTTATAGATCCACCATTTTTGGTGTTGGTTCTCCTGGACTTGTGTAGTCAACCTGCTGATGCATAATGCATTAAGAGGTTCTGCATTTTGTTTCTTTTTATCATAAATAACTCTATTTTAAATGTTTTGTGGACTCTATTTTATTTTTGTATGCGAGGGTAGTATGGATTTGAGGACTCCAAGGCTGGATGGTAGGTTGAAAAATTGAAACCATCTAGCTAAACCTATAAGTTCTTTGTTTTGTTTGAGTTTTCTCGTTATACAATAATCAAAATGTTGATCTTTCTCTGATTGTGATAAATGTATATGATTCATTTTCTATGTGTACTCATCTTGGGTTCTCTGTGAACAGATTTGACAAACCAACACATAGATTAAGCCTTGGGTATTTGTAAGATTGAAGAAGAAATCAAATCGTATTTGTTTACATCACCGAGGTTGATGTTTTTCTATGAATGCATCCTTCTAAAATGATCTAGAATTCTTTTACCCACTTTAAGGTGTTGTTTTCAACTTAAAAAGCATAATGGATAGTTAGCTTAATTGATTAAGTTATACTAAGGTGTTTGGTTTTAACTTAATAATAAGAGATGAGCTTAACATGGTAAGTCAAAGCATCATATCTTCATGCATTAAGTTAGGGGTTGTTTGTTTACCTCTTAATAGTTCCATTAAGAGACAACCTCTGAATCGTTAAAAGGTGAATCTTGTTTGACATTCTTTTTGCCTCTTAATGGTTCTAAAACCATCTGAATGATTTTGTATCATGGGCCTCCCTTAACCATTCGACACCCTAATTCCATTGTAAACAATTACCGAACAATTATATTTCATTTTGCACTATATCATGAGAGACTCTTAATAATTCTGATCACTTAATCATTCTGCACCAAACCATTCAGTAATTGTCAAATAACCTCTTAGTGTTTTTTTCGTCATTACCTTTGACCGACAAAATTTATAACATGTGTCCTTTGGTTAAAAAATAAATAGTTTACCAACAAGAATCAAGTTTATACGAGAACAGTAACCAAATAAGAAAATAAGAAAACAATCAAATCACAATTTCGAATCTGCTTTCTCCATGAACAAGGAAGCTATAAGTAATACAACTAAGAATCTCTCTTGAAATATGGACAAATGGAAGTTTAACTCCTAAAAACAAAAGTTTTGAAAATTCAAGAGAAAGTCGCGGCAAGACAAACCGTTTATCATTACGATATGTGTCAAGTGGAAGTGCAGTGATGTATGCAACTGAGGCATCCTAACAAACCGATACAAATGGAATATTTCAACTAAAGCAATGAGATACTGATGGTATTGACAAATCCCTCGCTTTATCTAAATGTGTAAAAGATAACATGAACCAGATAAGAAAAAAAAGAAAACAGTCGAATCATATGTAATTCGCTCAACTTTGACCGCGATATAAATTTGAGTCATGTCGCCCACACACCCTTATATTGACTGTTAGTGTATCTCGTGCTCTCTTATTTGATTACTTTTCTCGTTTTAACCCCCACCTTACCAACAAATGCATAAATTAAAAAATTGTACTCAAACTTGTTGAATACATACAATTTATGTTATTTAAAACAATTCATATTATTTTAATTTTTTTTATTATTTTAGATATTTATTAAACAATTTATTTTAATTCGTATTTACGTAAACAAAAGGTGAAAATAAAAAAACAAATTAACAGATAAAAGATGAAACCAACCTCTTAAACTCATCTGTCTCCATCTCTCACGCCCTCACAGGAACTCTCACAGCCGCTTCCGCTCTCACGCAATCAATCCCCAAATCCGTTGATATCTCACAGCAATCGATCTCTCACGGGCTCTCTCACGCAATCGATTCAAAAGGTATGTCGATTTCTACCTCCTGCTTCATATATACAGGGCCGGCCCTGGCCATAGGCTCAGAAGGCGATGGCCCACGATAGCACAAGGCCCAAGCGCATCAAAAATTTAAAGCCCAATGTCTAGGTATGGGTTCAGTATTCTTTGGGCTTAATTTGTTTTTTACCGTTACCGTCCACTACAATGCGCCCAGTCCACAGACATGTTCATCATCCTCCCTCGCTCACGGCCGGACGACTCACTCCCTCCTCCCTCGACTCTCGCTCTCGCCTCGCATCGCATCGCATCGCTCACTCGCTCTCGAAATCGCAATCGCCAATCGGCCTTGACAGTTGACTGTTAATCGGCTCTCGCTCTCGGCCTCTCGCTCTCTGCCTCTCTCGACAATCGACTGTCTCTCGCTCGCCGACTGCCGTTGCCCGTTTGCCGTCCGTCTGCCGGTCTGCGAACTGCGACTATCGCTCTCCGCCTCTCGCTCTCGGCCTTGACTCTTGAGCCCTTGACACTTGTGAGGTAAGGGACTTAGGGTTATTTTATAAGTTTCTAATTATTGTTTGATTGCAAAACCTAATAATGAAGCTGTGAAATTGGTACTTTGTGGTTTGTCATTTATGTTTCATTTGTTAATTTTAGGGCTGTTTAGAAGAGGGTTAGTATTAGTATAGGGCAATTTGTTTTAGGGCTTTTAGTATTAGTATAGACGCTGTGAAATTGGTACTTTTGTGGTTTGTCATTTATATTTCATTTGTTAATTTTAGGGCTGTTTAGAAGACGGTTAGTATTAGTATAGGGCAATTTGTTTTAGGGCTGTTAGTATTAGTATACAAGCTGTGAATGGCCTAAGATTGATGCTTATGTTTTCTCTTTTATCAATTTGTCCAGGTTGCTTAATCGTTTCACTTTCTCGGCAATTTCACAACACGAACCACGAAGGACCATTTTTGTTACACGGGGTTTTGGTTTATGGCCCCCCCATTGTATCATTTTTGTTATATTTAAGGGGCATTTTTTTGTTTGATTGACGAGGTTCCAAAACCATTCAAATAGTTTATTTTGGTTTTTATTTACACATATAATGGGCATTTTTTGACTTTTCGCCGTGGGCATCCAAAGTCTCAGGGCCGGCCCTGCATATATATATATATATATGTATGATTTGATGGTTCTTCTTTACTGGAGATTTTTGATGGGTTTTGATGGTTCTTTTTTACTGGTTTGTCCAAGCTATTATATAGACTGTAAGTTGGCTTTTGTTTGATTTTAGAACCCAGCCTAGTAACCTACAAATGTAACACGATTATGATTCTGTTGAAAGCCTTTGCTGCTAATAAGTTAAGATCATGTATGTTTCTTTGTTGTAGTTTACAACTATTTCATACCACATGCCAGGTGTTTGATGATTTGCCCAAATGAAAGCTTGGATGTTTATGGAATTACGCATGCTATTTTTGACTCCTTTTGTGTTTATTTTCCTACTTTTGGTTACGGTTTAGGTTTTCAGTAGTTAAAATTTGAATGCTTGTTGGTTTTTAGCATTTGTTTGCAGTTAAATATGTTATGCCCTCTAATACCCAAATAACATCTTGCATATGTATGTACTGAATTAACATCTTCAATATACTTGAATTTACCCAGTTTTACCAAATACAAATTTAGTTTCACAAGAAATGATGGGCTTATGTACATGCAAAATAGGAGTTTTTAGGTAAAGAGGCTTTTCTAAATATACCCATTGATTTGCTAGCGAACAAACACATTGACAATCTAAACGCAGACCTGTGTGATGTAACGGTATGTAAGAATAACCTTGGTATCTCAAGAAAAACGCTATTTGCATCCTCTATATATGTCATGTATTGAGAATGTAAAAAGTAGATATTGATACAAGTGAATTTGGGAGTTGATTCAAATTTCAGACTTCAGACGTTTGTCAGTTTAAAAAAACATACAGTCTTATTGATTCAGATTTCAGACTTCAGATGTCAAAACAAACAATCTGACTGATTCAAATTTCAGACTTCAGACGTAAAAACAAACAGTCTGGCTGTTTCAGATTTCCGACTTCAGCATCACCTCTTATAAATCAAAAATGAAATCAGACTTCAGCACCTCTTAAAAAACAAACGCCACCTGATTGTAAATAAGGGTTGATCTTAATTCATCCGGATACATAAATGCAGAAAGTTTTGAAACCAAACATATTTGGGTCGGTTATTCAAAGGAACCCGACCCTTTATCCCAATTTTTCCTATGGTTGCTCTCTCCTCCTCATTCTCTAGATATACGAATACAATCGACATTCTTCTCATTCACTCCTTCCCTCACCATTCTTATTGTTGCCAACCAGTTGGTCGAACCAACAGTTGCACCTATTGAAGAACCAAACTGTCGCACCTGTCGAAGAATCAATTGCACCACCTGTTGAATACACAGTGTTCGATTCAAAGGTACTATCTCTCGACTTTGTATATGTTGAGTTGGGTTTTTAGACCTACTGTTTTTCATTCTTTGTTTTTAATCATTCTTACTGTTTTGAGATTATTGTAGTTTAGATTCTGGAAAAAGAGTTCCATTTGGGAGTCCTTCACATAATTTCCACTTATTTAACTTAACACCTAGCCATATGATTCAGTAGCGTCCTCTTTCGCCCTCGCTTCTCATGTCTTCTTCTCACTCTGCCTCTCGTCTTCTTGCTCCTGGTCCATCTCTTTACCGTCGCTATTGTTGCTCTGGTCTCTCTCATTAATCGCAGGTTATGTGAAACACTAATCTATTTCTAGTTTTGAAGACAACGATTTATGTGGTGTTTTTGAAACAAATCTTGATGGATCTTTATTGTGTTAGGGTATCATTTCCTTTGGCTTCTTTGAGATTTTAGAGCAGAACATGACATCTAGACCTTCTTTTCCTTTAGCAAAAATTTCAAAAGCAATATTTGAGCCTAAATGCCTTCTAAATCAAATCATGTCTGCGTCTTAGAGAGAATACATGATAGAATACAACTTCAGGAACTTCAAGAGAAGGATGCTTGCATTATTGAAATTAAATACTACATTCTCTTAACATCTCGGCATTGTTGATTTCAAAGGGTAAATTTGAATTCGTGGACGAGGACAGTCCTACTTCCACATCTGAAATACAAACACGTAGGTTTTCTTGTTAATTGGATGTTATGATCATGAGTACCAAATCAGGAAACTCCAAACAAAAGGAAATGTGCTCATCCTTCTCTGTGTAAACCTGAATAAGGGACCAAGCTGAACTATGGGTGGGATCAGGGGTGAACATAAAATATGCAAGCTTAGCAGGGAAAAACTATGGGTGGGATCAGGGGCGGAGCTAGGAACTTAGAATAGGGAGGGTGGGTCCGTGGTTGTTCAAGGTCGTACTTTATCATAAGTTTATAACTGTTAGAATGTACTTGTAGGTCATTAACATCTTCTTTTAGCATGACCTTGATCATAAAGAACTAAGAAGTTCTTTCAAAATACAAACAAGTTACGATACCTCAGTATTAACAAATTGCAATCGATTAATCTAAGACTTTGGGGCTCCTTTCCAGTATAATTAACTGGTTGTTCCAGTTTTTTTTTTCTTTTTTCATTTATTTATGTCGATGATTGTTTAGAGTAGAGATAGAGAGAGGGTTATTGTAATATTATTGTATGATGAAAATGATGACTTACTGATTGAATGCATTTTCCAGTATAATTAAATGTATTGGTAATCAAAATCAAGAAATCATGATGTGAATCTGTGTCCTTGTGTTTAATGTTTATCGCCAGTTAATCTAAGACGGCTGACTATTAATTTTTAATTAAAAAATTTACACTATGCTTTTGTTTTGGGTTGAGAGTTGAGGGGGGCTTGGCATTGACTCTGGGTGGGATGCAAGAGGCACGATTTTGTCATGCTCCCACTTACAGGGCCCAAAGCCCAACATTATGTTGGGATATTCTAGATTAGATAAAAGGGGTAATTGAGTATATCTGAGAATTAGTCGGTTTGCAAGGAGTATTTGGGTAATATCTAGAACAGCTTGGGTTGGGAATAGTATAAAAGAGTAGGGGAGGAGTGTAGAAGTCTTTTTCCAGAAAAATTGTTGAGTGTCTTTCTTAGGAGAGGTCTGGCCTCTCGAATACCCAGAACCCCTTTCATTCCATTAGTGAAATACATATGACATTTGCTATTTGTTTCTCCATCCTTTTTTGTTTCATCAGTGAAATACGCAAGGTATTATCACTCTGTTTTGTATTGTTTGTTTGAATCCAGCCGGCTCTTAACAGATTTATATATAGAATTGAAGAGATCAATGATGACTGTTCTTTGTGGTGTCCACTATACCAATCAAAAGAAGGAACAAAACGGTTAGATTCTTTCCAACAGGCAGTTCACGAAGTTGGTGTAGAAATGGAGGTGACATGGAGCTTAATTATAAGGGATTGTCTCTGGTCGCAGTGGGTTGGGGATACGTTATAACATGGCAGCCTCAAATTTCTCTTCATTTTTTCTTTCCACCTTGAGTACCAGGTGGAAGTTTGGGGGCGGGTAGTATTATACCCTGAAGTTAAAGTTGGATACGTATTTTAGGAGGGAATTGGGTGGTACTTGTAATAAATAATAATATTGTAATAACCAATAGCAGAAAATAGGAGGGAGAGGCTGTTTCAGGGGAAATGGGTAGTCTGTTACAAAGGGTAAAAAGGGGAAGTAGCTTTTAGAGTTTGTTAAATAGGTGAGAGGGAAAAGGGGAAAGGGCATCTGATTTGTGAACCTTGATTTGGTGTCAGTCTAGGGAGAACCCAGCGTCTCGAATTGCTAGAAACCATTAATTATCCTATTGCAGTATCACTTTCTTCCTGATTTCATCAAAGTGTGTATCAGATACGTGATTCGGTATTTCAGTTGCTGTTACATGTCATCACCTAGATTGCTTGTGGTATTATGACTATCATGTCTGTTCATTGGTTCTGGTAATGCTCTGTTTTTGATTTTTTGTTTGTTTTAGAAAAGTTTTTTGGTGTTATCATGAGGATGGTATCATTTATAATTTGAACGTCATTTCCCCCTCTTCAAGATATTAATTAATCCACTATTGACTTGAATTATATCATGCACATTGACAATTGGATACCATGCCTCGAAAGTCCCATCCGATCCAACCACTCCATGTCATATTGTGTATTTTGTTGGGAGTTCTATTTGTTTCTTCTCATTTTTGATATCATTTACTTTTGGTGTTTAAATCAGACAGTCTTCCTGTTCCACCAGTTTGATCAGTAAGTAAGAAAGAAGAGATGGCAGAGAGAAAGGTGTTGAATAAGTATTATCCGCCGGATTTTGATCCGGCAAAAATTCCAAGGAGGCGTATGCCCAAGAATCAACAAATAAAAGTTAGAATGATGCTTCCGATGAGCATTCGCTGCAGCACATGTGGAAACTACATTTACAAGGGTACCAAGTTCAATTCACGTAAGGAAGACGTTATTGGAGAGGTATGCTATTACACATATACATACGCATATTTGGTGTATATCACATACTCATATGCCTTTCTATTTGTTTTATAGATTTATTTTGATTTATGTGGCTGAAATTAGCCTTTTGTCTCTAATCTTCCGTTGAGATTTGAGGCCGTCCAATGACGTTTAGGTCAACAATGTATACTTGCATAACTGACATTCACTTCTTTCATGGACAGACATATCTTGGGATTCAAATATTCAGGTTCTATTTTAAGTGCACCAAGTGCTCAGCTGAGATTACCATGAAGACAGACCCACAAAACTCTGATTATGTTGTTGAGTCTGGAGCTGCGAGAAATTTTGAGCCTTGGCGTGCAGAGGATGAGGTGAAATTTTTATACTCAGTATATGATAGCTATTTACCTGTGTATTGATGAGCATACGGTTAATCACTTGTATGATAATATGCATCGCTTTCAGGTGGTAGACGAGGAGCAACGGAAACGAGATGCTGAAGAGATGGGAGATGCAATGAAGTCCTTGGAGAATAGAACTCTTGATTCAAAAAGAGAGATGGACATCCTTTCTGCGCTGGATGAAATGAAGTCCATGAAGGTTTGTTTTATTTATTGTCACACACACATATATACATGCATGTGTGTGTATATATCTATCCATGTGTGTATCTACATATGTGTATGCTTGTTTAGTTCTATGGTTGGCCTGATGATAAAACTATTTTGGATTCTAAATTGCAATTCATCTGTGTCTTGCAGTCAAGGCATGCAAGTGTAAGCGTAGATGCAATGCTTGAAGCCTTGCAGCGATCAGCTCCGGTACAGGTATGCTGAAGCAGTCCATAGTTCTTATGTTTTTACTAGACAAAAAATGTATCTACACGTTTTTACTGTTATATGCATGTTTGTTTATTGTTGTTTATGGATTATCTGTTGGCTTGTAGGAGGACAAGCTTGAAGAAGAGGATGAAGCCCTTATAAAATCCATCTTCCAAGTTAGTAGGCTCTCTCTCTCTCTCTCTGTATATATATGTTCTACTTTTTAACAGTTTTCAAGGATAATTCTGAAGTTATGATGTTATTGAATTGAACTCAGGGATCAAAAGAGATTATCCATAGAATTGATGATGATGAGCTTGAAGATGACGATGCACAAGTTAGTTCTAAGGTATGATAATTCACCCATATTCTACCAATGCTTACTCTATTCTAAATTCAATTATTGGTCACCATCACATATGCCTGATTAGGGTTGTTTGGATATCTTTGCTAGCAAGGCAGAGACAATGCTAGTACATGGATATCTTTGCATTTTCATCTCTCTCTTTAAACTGTTTTGGTGGGTCATTTCCACATTCCAGAATTATAGTATTTGCATCTCTCTTCAGGAAATAGTGTAGTATTGATGTTTTGGGATACACTTCATCCATCGAAAAGGAGAAAATGGGATTCCCAGTAGTTGGTTAAGCAGCGAGGAACAGAAGCATTGCATATTCTTTCTACTGTTTAGCTTTCGCTATGCATAATCCATTTAATATTTTTCTTTCTACTAAGGAGTTTGTAAATGATGGAGGTTAAAGAGGCTATAATATCTGTTTAATGCAGAAGCAGAAAGTTACTGAAGATCGTCCGACAGATTACTTGACGAAAACCAGTACCATTAAGAGAGGTGAGCCAGATTCAAGAAAAAGCTTATTGAATGTTTTTGGTAATCATAGTTGTAGGGAAATCTAATTCTAATTATATATATATATATATATATATATATATATATTATTATTATTATTACAGAAGATGAAAAGGGTGGTGGAAGGATTGGTCTCAAGTCTTCAACTGTTAAGTTCTCTGTGGTGAAGAAGGCATCATCAGATGGTGGTAATGGTAAAACAGAAGCAAATGAGCAAGAGAAGCCCAAAATTACAACTAGTAGTGGGCTACAATCTTTATGCCAACAGTATGATACTACTGATGATGAAGAAGAGTAATCTTTCATATATTTTTAACTGGTAACCGGTTGTTCCAGTTTTTTTTTTCATTTATTTATGTTGATGATTGTTTAGAGTAGAGATAGAGAGGGTTATTGTAATATTATTGTATGATGAAAATGATGACTTACTGATTGAATGCATTTTCCAGTATAATTAAATGCATTGAACCATAAGGGTGGTGCCTGATTAGTTTGAGCTTTGTTCTAAAGTACCGGGAGGTCCTAGGTTAAGTATTGGGAGGTCTCAGGTTCAAATCCAAGGAGGAATAAAAATCTCATTGTGGCCACAGAGTTTTAAATGCGGGTGATTTTGGGCTATCTGTAAAGCATAGCGGGTTGGATATTTATGTTAATAAAAAAAATGTATTGGTAATCAAAACCAAGAAATCAAATCATGATATGGTGGAGAATCAAAACCAATAAATCATAATGTGAATCTGTGTCTTCGTGTTTAATGTTTTATCGTAGTCATTGCATCTTCGTGTTTAATGTTTTATCGTAGTCATTGCAACGGGGTTGTTATTTACACCCCTACTTATTAAAAAAGTCAAAAGAAGATTTATAAATAACATTAAATGACTTAAAATTGTGAATTTTTTTCCTCACTCTTGTGTCTCCCCCCTCTCTATCTTACTTTTTTGTTTTTAATTAATAGATAATAGTTATTATTGGTCTATATTAATTATAATTTTTATTTGTATTATATATTAATCAAATTTAAAACCAATAA